GAGGCATGTATGGAAGACAACCAATCAACCAATGTTTCTCGTTCTCTCCCTTCCTCTCTCTAAAATCAATGGAAACATGTATTTGAGTGAGGATTAAAAAAAATCCAAAATCCTCAACATGACACACCAGATATTCCATGATATTGTGGCCTCTTCTTCCCCTTTTGATTTGTTATGTGCATCTTGTGCACTTGCTATTTTATATATGGTTTAAAACTCATAAAAATACAGTTCAGGAAATTATTATCTTTCAGGTAAAAAGAACATCATGTGTAAAATTTTTGTGGTAAGAGAACAATTTCATATAAGGAACTGACAATTAAGTGTCAGCTTTCAAGTTGTGAAGTACTTGATACTTGAGTGTAGACTCATTGTAAGGCTTGTGGATGAATGAAGCTTTCAGGTCACAAAGTATTGGAGTCACGGAAGATTATAGGCTGGGAGTATATGAAATATGCAGTATAATGGTTAAGTTTATGTGTCAATTTGCTTGGGCTATGGGGTACCCAGACATTTAGCCAAATATTATTCTGGGTGTGTCTGCAAGGGTATTTCTGGATGAGACTAACATTTAAATCAATAGACTGAATAAACTATTATTCACCCCAATGTGGATGGGCCTCATCCAGTCAATTGAAAGCCTAAATAGAAGAAAAAGGCTGAGTGAGACGGAATTCCTTCTGCTTCACTGCTTGAGCAAGGACATCAGTCTTTTTCTGTCCTTGGACTCAAACTAAAACATTGGTTTTTCTTGCATCTCGAGCCTGTCAGCTTTTAGATTGGAAATCACACCACAGATTCTCCTGCTTCTCAGGTCTTTGAACTTGGACTGTAGCAGCAGCATTGGCTGTTTGGGCTCCTTACCTTGTGAACTGCCAGTCTTGAAACTTCTCAACTTCAATAATCATGAGAGCCATTCCTTATAATCTCTTTCTTTCTCTCACTTTAGGTAATAAATGAATGAGGGAGGAGGGAAAGAGAGAGAGTGTCAGGCACCCCATAATGACATTTCAGTCAACAATAGACAACATATATAATGGTCCTATAAGATTGCAATGGAGCTAAAAAGTTCTTACTGCCTAGTGATCTTAGTCATCATAACTTCATAGCAAAATGTATCACATTATTGTAGTATTTAGTACAGTAATATGCAGTACTGGTGTATAGCCTGGGAGCAATAAGATATACCATATAGCTTAGGTGTATAATAAGCTATACTATCTACATTTGTGTAACTTTAGTATGTGATGTTCACACAAATCTCCTAATGACACATTTCTTAGAATATATCCCTGTCATTAATCAATGCATGACTGTATCTAGATATATCTTAAGCTTTACTGAAAATTATTCTTGCATCTTAAGATCTAATAAAATTTTCCTGCCTATGTTTTGGATTTGTTTGAGACCCATCACGTTTTCCTTCCTAATCTATCTAGATCTATCTATCTACCCACACTGTTCATTTTATATTCTGAAGAAGCCTGAATAATACAGATTTTGGTGTCAAGAAATGAGATGCTTCTGTCACAAATATCTAAACATGTGGAAACAACTTTGGAATGGGTAATGGTTAGAGACTCAAAGAGTTTTGAGGTTCATGCCAGTAACATAGATGTTAAGGGCTATTCTAGTTAAGTTCTCAGACAGGCATGAGGAACATGTTATTGGAAACTAACTATGGCAATCCTTGCTATAGAGTGGCAAAGAATTTAGCTTAACTGTATTCTAGTGATTTGTGGAAGGTAAAACTATCCGCTATGAAATTGGATATTTAGCTGAAGAGATTTCTAAGCATGGTGTTGAAGGAGCATCTTTGTTTCTCTTGATTGCTTATAATAAAATGCAAAAGTAAAGAGAGGAAATAAAGAAAAATGTTAAGCAAAAATAAAACATAATTTAAACATTTGAAAAATGCTTAGTCTGTCATTCTTACAAAAAAAATAAAAATAAGAAAGCTTGTTTTGAAGAGAACACTAAAGGTGTGGCTGAAAAGCCATTTGATAAAGAGATCATGGGTGTGACTCATGGACTTAAAAGCCATCCCAAGAGAAGCCAGAAATAGAGATGAGATTATGCCAACAAATACAATGCCAGCTTCTAAAGGGGACAAAGAAGGTGGGATGGAATGAAGGAAGGCTGTTGGACTCCTTGGATTTTATAGGACTGGACCACAGAGCTATTCAGCTGCAAGGGTATGTATTTTTCACGGAAAGGCCAGAGTGACCCTGAAGGCAATTCAGACTCCATTGGGGCTGGCACCCCCTCATAGGCCAAGGGGGCAAGGCTGTTTCCTCCCTGGTTCCAAGGGTGGGAGCTGAATGGGTGCAGTCACCCCTCAGAATAATGGGGGAAGGTTGCCGCACCCGCAGACCTGGAAAACGGAATATTAAACGAGAGAGGATTATTCTTGAGTCTTAAGATCTAATGGAATTTGCCTTTCTAGGTTTTGGACTTGCTTAGGACCCCTCACTCCTTCCTTCTGATTCCTCCCTTTTGGAATAGGAATGTCTGTCCTGGCCATGTCTCACCACTGTATTGGAAGCCCATGATTTGTCTGGTTTCATAGGTTCACATCTGGAGAGGAGTTTGCCTCCAGATGAATCATATCTCATCTGTATCTAATGTAGATGATATGTAGATAAGACTCAGAACTTTGGACTTTATTATAGTTTATGCTGGAATGAGTTAAGACTTTTGGGACTACTGGGATGAAGTGAATGCCTCTTCCATGCAGTAATGACAAGAATTTTAGGGGACCGGGGAGAAACGCCATAGACTGGAATTTGTCCTCCTAAAACCCATACCCAGAACTCTGAAGCCCCAATGGGACCGTATCTGGAGATAAGGCCTTTAGGAGGTAATTAAGTTTAAATGAGGTCCTGAGAATGGGGCCCTAATCCAATAGGACTGTGACCTTATATGAAGGTTTCTCCCTCTCTCTGCCATGTGAAGACACAATGGGAAGGCTGTCTGTAAACTAGAAAAATGTTCTTACCAGAACCCAGTCATGATGGCCCTCTGACCTCAGACTTCCAGCCTCTTGTACTGTCAGAAAATAAATTTCTGTTGGTTAAGCCATCCGTTCTGTGGCATTTTGTTATGACAGACAGAGCAGACTAAAACATGCAGGAAGTGGAGGCTGAACAGTACGGCGACAGTGCTCACACAGAGAAACCTGAGAGCTCTTGCTAGAAGAGCTTTGTTTTCTATTGGTTGTAAATAATAAACCAACAGTATTTTTTATTGTTTTATAATGCTTTCTTAATTTTTCCATAAATCCTTTTAGTGGTAGCAATGAACTCAAAAATGAGAGGGCATGTTTAACAAAAATTTAATACTGAATTTTTATTTCTCAAGATAGTAGATGATGAATGTGAAACTTGCAAGGACTGTTTGTTGACATTTACTGTTCGCTGTGATGGATGGCACAGAAGCAGCTACAGAAAGTGTGTTTACATATCAATCCGTGAAAAATGTCTTTTCATCTAAATCAAATTGCCTTTTATTCTAAATTAATAATGTTTCTTTTCATTCCACATTTTCTTGCACATATTTGAAACTTGAAGTGGTAGTGGTTAATGTATTGGCTTTATGATCAAAAGACCATCAGAGACAGTGAAATGATCCCAGGATAACACCAGGGTCATTAAATGCTTCAGACAGAAAATAAGTGAATTTCAATAATGGGTATTTTTTCATGCAATTTATGAAATCAAAGAAGGGCTTTTGGAAGTTCATTTTGCTGAAAGTGAAACATCTGCTATTATTGTAAATGTTGTTGTAAACTTGATTAAGTTCAAAATTGAACAGAAAATTATTTGTTTTGTGGCGATAATGTGAACACAGTACATGTGTGATAGAGCATAGCATTTTGGCAAAAACAATATTCTTACTAAATTAAGAAACTTATGGGGCAGAAATTTTCTTCTATCTGCCATGGTGTACGTATAAGTAATAATTACATTCAAACAAATAGAACCTATATATGTCACATTTTACAATATTGTTATATATACCCACAGAAAAACTGCAACGAAGCAGATGTTGCATTGATTAGAAAAAGCTTCAGTAGAGCTGTGCAAACTTTCTCGTTTTGCTGCGTAGTGTTGTTTGAATTTTAGAAACGCTTTTACCCCTGAAGAACTGCTTTGAAGTCAACCTGAGTGTCCTACAATGATAATAAACCTTTTGTAAATTAAATCAGCCTTCTAAATTTTGGCTGCATTTGTTCAAAATCAGTTGAATATGTAATTAAAGTGTTTAACCAAGGAGATGTCAAAAATTTTAGTTTTCAAACTTAGAAATTGCAGTTACTACAACTAATTACAGCCAGAAAAATACTGACATTTATCCTCATAGAAGCAATGATAATTGTTACAATAATTCTGTCAGTTGGTCCAAGTCAACTTGTAACTTTTTTTTTCTTCTAGGGTAGGATTGAGGATCAAGTGTAAAATCAAATATTGCATTAATTGCTGTATTATTACCTATTTCTGCATAACAACTTAAAAAGATTTATTTTTAAAAAATAGTGTTTCAAAAAACTATTTTATAGTTCCACCAATATAATAACATAAAATGAGCAATCAGATAAATTATTTTAATTGTTTTTTTGCCACTTTTTACCCTTAGGTGTCTCCCAGTTTTGACAATAACTTATATGATCACCTCAGTCTTAGCTTAAAAAGCTTTTCTTTCTAGAGTTCTTCCTTACCCCATCCCATAATCAATTAATTTCTCCCTTTACACTCTCCCCTTGTATCTTGAACTTTTCTTTACCTGACACTTACTTAACATTGCCTTCCCCTCTAAAATGTAATTTCCACAAAGGCAGGAATGTGTTTAAAATTAATAAATGGTTTAAAGGCTATACTAATTATAGCATTGTTTTAGTGTCTGATCATTTATTTAGCCATAACTATACTCCAGGAAACTGTAATAATAAAACATGAAAGTAAAGTTAGCCAATGAAAATGCTTGCTACAAACCCTTCAGTTAGTCATTTGTTCACTCAGCATGTGTTCGCCGAGCCCTTCTGCTGTGTGTCCGGGCCCTCCCGGAGGCTGGGGTTGCAGAGCCTTGGGGTGTGTGTACAGTTCTTTCTCAGGAAGCTTCCATTCAGGAGGAGGGCTAAAAATGAGGCAAACTAACAATTAGAAATAATAATTTCAGATTTTGATGAGTGGTACATACAATAAAAGATCTTAATGTGGTGTGTAGTTACTGGGAGTGTTGGTAAGAAAAGGCTTCTTTAGGCTGCTCTGAGCAGGTGGCATGTGAACCGAGACTGAGATGGCAAGGAGCCATCCTTTCCAAGAACACTGTGCGTAAAATAGAGAATAAAGAATCTGTTTTAGAAATGCCTGTATATTAGAATTACTAGAGATTAAGTCAGATTCAATCATGAGAAACATCCTCAATTTTCTCAAAGCGCATTTAATTTCCTTAAATGGAAAAATATTTCTCTAGATTATTGCTATTATTGTTATTATTACAGTACTATTACTTACCTTTATACAGTTACTATTGTCTGGTGAATACAAATGTAGTCAACTGATTTACTCACCATGCACTTTGTCAATTTAAGTCATCTGCGAGTGTTTAATGATATGTTAATGCATGCACCTAGTTGTGAATCAGCTCATAATAGAGCATGAATCATCACATTCTTGGTTCTGAGGGCTTGCAGATCTCCTTGCCTTTTCCCTTTAAGTCATTCTGATGTATTCAAACTGCTCAAGCAAATAAGATTCTGATATGAAAATACAGCCTTAACTCATTTAAGTCAGGTCATGTCCTTAAACTCATGCTTTTGACACATGTGTGCCTTACTAGTAGTGGACACATTACTTTATAAATCAACTCTGAGATGGACTTTTGCATCAGAATGAGCCAAAACTTGAATTTCAGAATGCTGAGTATGCACTTGGGTTTATAATTCTTGATTATGTCAATGTATTTGTCTATGAAGTCTGCACCATAAATAATCAAAATAAACTAAATATTTGGTTGCATTGGGTTGTGCATTAATTTTATTATTCCAAATTATCTGTTCTTTAATCTTTTCTAAATATTATATTTTCCCAAGTACATTTATATGTGGTTAATAGCACACATATTCCTGAAAAGTCTTGTGTAAATATACCTATTGTAAATAGAATTATTTTCTAAAAGCATAAAAAGAGCTTGAATTTTAAAGGAATCCTGAAAAAATCAATTTTCTAAGTTAAGAGGCTTTTTATCTAGTGACTTATCATTACTATTTCATCTATAGAAAGGTCAAATTTTCATGGACCAAGTTTTCTTGGAATACTTCTATAAACCTCCCATTCCTCATTCATAGATACCACTCTACTTTAAAAAACACTTTAATATCTACATATAATCTATAATCATGCAGACTATTTTAGAAATGATCAGAAATGATGACAAACAGATCCTATATCTACGTTATTCATGAAATGATGTCCACAATATTGCTTTTTGGTTTCTGGCCTTTCCTACCTGATTTTGTATCTGGATGGCCTCAGTGCTGTCTGCCAGGAAAGTATGTTATTCTTTCCTGGATTTTCACCAGCATTTTGTCACAATTTATACACTTCTTGAAGTTGAACTATAGTGTCTTAAGAGTATTATTTTGTTCACACTGTTTTTGGTCATAGAGCTTCCAACTGGACATAAAACAGATACTTCTTAACCGCACATAATAGCGCAAGGAGCATGGATTTTTAGATTCCAAAAGACCTATGTTTTAATAATGGCTCTGTTTCTTATAAACTGTGTGATCTTCAGCAGTTTATTTACATTCCCTGGACTCTGATCCCTCATCTGAAAGTCAGATAATGATAGCTCATAGCAATTTTGTGTTGATTAAAGGAATTAGGTAGTTACCATAATTGACATTAACAAGTGGTACTATTACTTGAGAGATTTTTAAACAACTCTTCATATATACGTGTGTGTATGTGCTTTTCTCCCAAAACATGGTTGCTCAACAAGATAAAAAATCAGATGAGGGAGCAATACACCAGAGTTTCAACCTTCAATTACCTATTACACATTTTTTCCTGACACTTAAAAAAAAGGTGCATTAAGATCAATATAATTTAAAAATGAGATAATCTTGGGGTGCATACTCCAAATCTTAAATACTTTAACATTCTCTCATCAATTACCAGGATTATTGAGACCCTTCATCTTTCTTGGACAATATCTTATAAGGGTAAAACAAGACATTTGTGGCTATCTTGCCTAAACATAACTTACTATAACCTCTTGCATTATGAGTTTATAAATGTCAAGATATTGCTGACAATTCCCTGTACAACATTTCACCACAAATATTTGTCTTACTTGTTGAGAGGCCAGTTAATATTTTCGTGTTGAAAGGAGTCCTTTAAGCATTTTAAAGTTATAAATCCTGCATAGTTTACTATTTTATAACTTATAAAATGAGGATAAAGGCAACTTTTTTGTTATCTGTCATTAATATCAAATAGAGAAGACTTTAAGACTAACATTACTAGAGATAAAGAGGGGTATTTTATAATGATAAAAGGATAAGTTCTTCACATTTGTAATAATCCCAAAATTTACATATAACTGTCAACATAGTCTCAAAATATATAAAACAAAAATAAATAACAAAAGAAAAATAAACAATCAAAATTATAGTGGAAAGTTTTAAGACCAGCTTCTTAGTAACTGAAAAACTTAAGGATATAGAAGATTTTAACTGCTCAATTAACAAGCTTTACCTAACTGGTGTAAATAGACTACTTCCCCCCAAATGGCAAAATACACATTTTTTAAATTATTAAAATGAATACATACCCCCTAAGTCTTAATAATTACAAAAGACTATAATATAACATTAGAAACCAGTAACAATAAGGAAATTTTTTAAATCCCAGTATTATGAAAAATTATAAATAAAATTTAAAGTCATAACAGGTGAATGTAGACATTAAAGTGAGAAATAGAAATAGTTTGTTGCTGAATGAAAATAAATTTAAAAATATAGATCAAAGAGGTATATTTCAAGAAAAGCACAACCAATGACAAATAATTCAAGAAAAAAACCCAAAATAACCTAAAACTATTAAAGAAAACTTTTTCTTTAGGAACTTTTGCAAAAAAAATTCTAAGTGAAAATTCTTTCACATTGAAATGTATTCTTTAAAATTGTTTGTTTTAAAGCCAAAGAGTTTGATATTTAATCCTTTAATTACAATCTGAAATATCAGATGTAAATAATCTTCTAGTTGTAATTGTCCAATAATTTATAAAAACACAAATGACTATAAAAGTTACAATTACATCTAGTACTAAATGATATTACTGACATAACATTTTATTTTCTTGATTTGTTCAGCTTTATAAAAATTTACTTAGTTATGGAACAATGATTTTATTAGTTAGAATATTAGTTAGTAGATCAGTGTGAAAGAAACCAATCAACCAAAGTTTAAATAGGTATATGTGAAAACTACTGAATAAATAGTTGTGGTGGGGTCTTTTTGTCCTAAAACTATTAGTTTTTTAGAGAAATTTATTTTAAAAATTTGTAAAGAATTTCAAGTGAGGTACTGGTATTGTACCATCATAAAACAATATTAGGTCAGTGGCATAATAATAGCAACAAGAAAATATCTGACTAAAACAGTATAATTAAAAATATTCATATGCCAACTTTTTTCTTTTGAATTATATTACTTTTACTATTTATTATACTTAATTTTTTTCACAACATAATAATATATCAAAGTTCAAAAGAGGAAAGTTTTCACTGTCTCATTACATTATTTCTTTGAATTCTTGATTCTTACTGAAAATAATTTAGTTTATAGAGGAAGGGATTGGTGTTCAAACTTATCCACTGTAGGTTTCAAATACTCTGAGTAAAAGACTGATAACTGGGAATAATCAGTAAGAACTTATTTTTCAAAACATATTGTTAAGACAGTAAAAATGTAAAGTATAGACTGGAAAAGACATTTACAACCCATATAATGGTGGGCAAAAGTGGGTTTACATTTGTGAGTAAGTGAAACAGTTTATTTTTGTATTATTATTTATTAATTATTGTATTATTTTCCTTATGATTAACTATAAATCCACTTTTGCCAACCCATGTATTACTGATGTTGGGCTTATATTCAGAATAATAGAAAATTCCAAAAATCAACAAGGAGAAATAAGTCACAAAGGAAACTGGCAGAAGACCTGAAGAGCCACTTAAAAAGGGTATCCAAATGGTCAATAACTATATAAAATTAATGTCAATTATATTCATAGTAAGAATCCCACCAGTATCACTAAATCAAAAAACTGACAATTCCAAGAGTTGATGAGGATGTACAGCTAAAAGTTATATACAAAGCTATTGGCAGAGTGAATTGACCAACCACTTAGGAAATTTGAAGACACGCATTTTCTCTGACCGAGCAATGTCCTCCTAGATAACCAGTATGTGGGTAACAGTAGTTTATAAGAATATCCAAAGCAGGTACAAAGATATTCACACCAAGATCATTCATAATACCCAAAAACCAGAATCAATCTAAATGTCCATCAATAACTGATTTAATAAATTGGGGTATAATGGAATACCATAAAGGAATAAAAATGAATATACTATAGCTACAAATGGAGTCATCTTGCAATGATAGTGATTGATTAGCAAAAGAAAGCAGAAACCAAAAACAGCTGTGATTCTTTTCATAAAAGTAAATTAAATTAAACTGTAGTTCTTACTTATTTAAGGGATGGGGCAGCATTTATCTTTGAGAGGAGGAGACTTGGATGGCGAAGGAGTTCGTGGGGACAATGGGGTGCTGGCAGTCTGCTGGCCTGGGTGTTTGCTTTATAATAATTCAATGAACTGTACATTTTTAGTGTGTGCACTTTATGGGTGTTTTATTTCATGATAAAATGTGGGCTTTTTTGTTTTAAAAGAAAGATCTGTTGCTAATATTGTTTTGGCTTTCATTTCTTGGTGTTTTTTTTTTGTAACACCAGCTTAAAGGTAGAGTGACTCTAGCAGCCGTGGCAGTGGAGGGTTTTTATGAAAACAACAATTAACTCATCAGCCAACAAAACACCAAAACCACAACATCTGGAAGGCATCA